AAAATTCTTGGCTGAAGCCGAAACAGAGATAATGGAAAAAATTTGCCGAATACTGAACAGTACAGGGAGGGGGGGGCGAGGCCCAAGAGGTAAAGTAAAGTTCGGTAAATTAAATTACATGTGTCTATTTACTTTAATGGACACATGTAATATGTTTTATACTTTCTGTGAATATAATCCAGTTAATCTTATTTCCATCCTGTATAGATGCCTTATTTTGAAAACCTGATGTTGTCACATGTTTCCTCGCGCTACATTTAATCAAGTCCAACCCAGTTGATAAATAATGTTGTACATGGTTCTCGTACGGCGTAACATGAAGACTTCACAGCCTCTCTTCAGGTAGGACTCTCATACTGCAGCACTTGTCTATGTAAAGACAAACTGAGAGGATAAAGTTGCTAACCTGCCTGTCCCTTTCAGTAGATTTACCATAAAGGCTTAAATACATGTGCACTCCAAATGTAGTTGCGGCTAGCTTAATCGCCATCTCAGAAACAAGTGACACAAACACTTAAAGTGTTTTTTTTTCTAAAAAGTCAGCCACAGATGGAGTAATGACTTTTACCCGCACACTGTGCAGCACAGTAGCTCTTAGCTAGCGTCCTCTACTCATTCTTCAAAGGACAGCTACGTGACAGGCAGCACAAAGTGACGGTGAAAGTGAGCAGAGCAGAGAAAAGGTGAGCACTAGGTTTCAGTCTGGCTGTAAATGTTCAGTGTAGGTCACAGTCTGTTTGTTGTTTTCCAACTACTAGAAAGGCAGTTAGTGCTAGCAAACATCTCCTCTTCAGACTGCCGTGTGGAAGCTGAGCAGGACGTTATTTGGCTGCTGTAAAGTTGGTTTGTTGTCATTCATCCAGATATCGAGTTCACACATTTTTTTTTTTCTCAATGCCCTTGGTGCTCAATACAAGATTACAATAATCAACTTACAGGACAAGACACAAACATGTAACTACACCAGACGAGACAAAAAAAGGAACAGATATATTAAGGTGGAGTGAACGTGGTTTGGCTGCAGCACTGTAAAGTTCAACACGTATCTCACTCTATACTATAACAGCAGCATCAGAAATAAAAATGGCAACAGCAGAGGTCAGTATAACCTGCAATAATGTTATGCAATGTCAGCAAATATGTAAGTATAATAACATTAAATAGCTGTATTTCATTACTACCTACTACTTTGGATTGTTACAAATACTTTGCTTTAAAAGTACCAAACAGTCAAACAGTGAGAAAAATACATCTGTATCCTGTTCGTTTTACAGTCACATCGTAGCCTCATAATTGTAATGAGGTGCCTAGAAATTCCCACCTCTAGAGGTGATGCATCGAGATATCAAATCGTTGACAGGATAATTGCAATTGAATCGTGAGACCAGTGAAGATGCAAACTACACAGAGCCACTGGTACGTCCAGCTGGTCAATATGAACTTTAAAAAAAAAACGTAATTCAAATCAATGCAGACTCTGGTGTGAAACTGGTCGAGCTTCAGCCTTTAGACTGAGTTTTTCCTCACACATCCTCAGCTGATTTTGACAGATGGAGCTGTGTTTCTCTACTTTTACTTGTAAAATCTCAGAAGATTTTGTTTTTCCTGACATTATGATGTACTCTGTTCACTTAAAACAATTAATATAGCATTCACTTCTATCAACCAAAACAACCTGGAGGAGATAATACAAATATCTGAAATCCTCCTCATGCTGCCTTGATATTCTGCCAACAGGTTTTTTCAAAGATGTTTCTAACTGCATGGCCTCAGATCTACTACAAATTGGGAACATGTCTCTCCTCTCAGGTTTCTTCCCACAGGCCCTGGAAACTGTAGTCATTAAGCCACTCTTAAAAAAAGAGCAATTTAGACACGTCACTAATGAGCAGTTACAGGCCCATATCAAATCTGTTAATTTAAAATTAAAAAGTAAAATAACTGAAAGCTGGATCTGGAAAAACTTATCCATGCATTTATCTTCAGTCGACTTGACTACTGGAACAGTGTCCTTACAGGGCTCCCTAAGAAATCCATCAGACAGCTGCAGCTGATTCAGAACGCTGCTGCTCAAGTCCTCACTAAGACCAAAAAAGTGGATCACATCACTCCAGTTCTGATCTTCTGCTTCATTATGAACCATCCAGATCTCTCAGGTTGTCTGGGCCAGGTCTACTTTCTGTCCCCAGAGTCAAAGAGTCAGAGTAAACATGGAGAAGCAGTGGTCAGTTTTTATGCTCCGTATATCTGGAACAAACTCCCAGAAAACTGCATGTCTGCTGAAACACTCAGTTCTTTTAAATCAAGATTGAAAACTTTCAAGAGCGCTGCAGCAATCAGAAGAACTCCAAATGTGCGTGAGCGTGCATCACCCACAATCATGCAGAGTGAGTGAGCGTGATGAGATGATGCAATGAAGCTGCCTCAGAGAATGAAAGCTGGACCTTGGGATTTGCTGAGTGGCACAGATGGTAGTCCTGTGGAGGGGAGGGCTGGGACTGCAGCCACTGGAGGTAATCCAGGCATTACAGCACACACGTAGAGTCACAACTACAGCTATGGGGGAATACTGTGTTCAGAGCTGTGGTGGTCTTTCAGTGCCGCTCATTCCAGCTCCCTGTTTTTTTACAAACATGTGGAAGCTGCATTTGCAGAAGCCCAGGAAGCAGTTTGTGCATAACTGACAAATCGGCACAGCTAATTTTTTAAGTTGTTTCACTGAGCATAGTTAATGACTGCATAGGAATAAATCAGAAAATGTAAGTCTGTTGGCAGTAGGGCTGCAGCTAATGAGGATTTTAGTACTCAAAGCTTCTACAGATTATTTCATCGATTGATCGATTCATTGTTTAAGGAGCACTTCTGCTTGCAAAGAACTTGTGTCGATGCTTTTTAGTAAGCAAATGAATCGATTTAATCGATGAATCGTTTCAGCCCTAGTTGGCAGCTTTCCTCCGTCATTAGTGCGTCTTCATCAGCTGATGGAGTTGTCATGGAGATGGATCTTTTGACAGCTGAGCTGAACAGCGCCTTTAGGTGCTTAAGCATCCAAGTTCATTCTTGTCCTTGGAAATTGTTCTTTGAAATCATCTCAACTTAAGGTCCACTTAAAAGCTTCTTCCTGGGCTTTCAGCCGTATCACACAGCCTTTATCAGCGGATGAAGTTGGATCTGTTGTCAAGTTGACCTTGAATTGTCAAACTACTAATTCAAAAATGAACCTTTATACTTTGTAAAACGAATGTTGGAAAGGGAACTTAACAGAAAGGACCCAAAGCACAGACATCTGTTTAGAACATTCCTCATATCTAAATAGGAATTGATGAAGGCGATTCTCTTAATCACAATCCCGTCAAAATGTCCCCGCTTGTGGGCGTATTGGGGTGGTGCCACTGCAATAAACCTCAAGCACTTCAGCACCGCTGCTGGAAAAAATATTTCGAGTTTGTTAAAAAAAAAAACACCCACAGCCAATTGATATGACATTACGGTGATCCTTTTGATATGTTCTATCTCTCTGACTATGCAGGTAGCTGAAGGGTGTAACATGGGTTTGAATAAATATACATCAGAAAAAGCTCTTGCTCTCTGCATGTTTAACCCAGAACCCTACTGAACATCACATGCTAGTGTTTTTCTCTGGCAGAAAGGAGCTGGGGAGTGCTGGGATGAAGCACTTGTGTGTCATGTTGTTTGGAAGAAGAATGATCACTATATGGACACAGGCCCGAAGGCTGCTGTTTCAAAAGCACTAGCAAAATCTTTTTAAATGAACAATTATCTGTCAAAATCAGAAAAGGGGGGCTTGCCTCTCTCGCTCGCTTACGGTAGTAATCTTTACTCATTACCACTGACAGTAACATTGCCCAGCACCATTGCTCTAAAAGTTGCTCCGTGTATCATCACCTTAAGTCAACAAACGAAAGAGTTTGACTGACAGCTTTTGGCCTCCGTATGAGACCTTTTCACAGCAGACACAGGTGTTACTAATAGCATTAACGTTGGCTCTGTTTTATTAATGCGTCCCAGTAAAGGTGGGGACACGCATTACGACTGTTTAACCGGAGATGAATGTGATTTGGGTGACTAATAGTCTGCTCCAGTCTGTATCAGCTGGTGTCGACAGTCAACAGATAAAGACATATAGAGTGATCTATAAAGATTCTAAGCTTGAAGTCAGACATTATATTAATACACTACATTAATGTGAACCCACTGTGTATATATCTATATATTTAATTCAGTTTTATTTATTTAGCGCCAAATCACAACAACAGTTATCTCTGAGCGCTTTTCATAAAAGAGCAGGTCTAGACCGTACTCTATGATGTTATTTA